GCTCACCGAATCAAGGTCATCTTGCTGGGATGATATTTCCTGACGTCACGACCTGGGCGGGGGTTTTTCTCGGACACTTGTATAAAGGAAAGGGCTCTGTGTGTCTTCGTCAGTCTCAGTCTCCGCAGTCTCTAACACAATGGCATTCAAGGCAAGTAAATCTGTCATTCCAAAAGTGCAGTTGTTAAAGATTTCTGTTATTCAACCATAAAACGTTGATCCTATAAATATTTCTAATGATTCAAATGTACTGCAGGTATTCGCACTGGCCACCCTAGTGGTAGCCACCGTCGCTCGTCCAGATAGCCCTCCTACCTATGGCTACTCTGCTCCCACTCCCTCTTATGCACCACCCGCCAAGTACGACTTCAACTACGCCGTCAACGACCCAGCATCTGGCAACGACTTCGGACACCAGGAAGCCCGTGATGGCGACCACACACAGGGATCCTACTACGTCCTTCTTCCCGACGGTCGTCTGCAGAAGGTCACCTACAATGTGAACGGAGACTCCGGTTACGTGGCTGATGTGACCTACGAGGGAGAGGCTCAGTACCCCACCCCAAAGGCCTCCTATGGTCCTCCTCAGCCATCCTACAAGCCGCCCACCCCCTCCTATGCTTAAGGAACAGAAATGAAATATTTATTGATCTCGAGTCTTTGTAAATACTAGATATTAAACAGCATTCTTCATCTTTAATAGTTTTATATCCAATACATGTTTTCAATTTAGGAAACTGCAACGTATTCCTTACTAGGCTAAAATTATGTTTAAAAATCTAATCATCGAGGAAAATGTACCGATGATAACTGACTGAAATGAGCTAAATATTTTTGTTATGGAAAAGGAACGTTAATTTCAAGCGAGTTTCTTTCCTTCTTGATCTCGTGATACGGGAAACCTATACTAGACTGTTTATATTGGTGAAACATTAACTTCTCCAGCATGATTCTATTAATTAATTAAATAGTTTTATATATTATGTTCCTATTACATACATCAATTTATTTGCCCAGCCCCAAAGGCCTCCTCTGGCCCTCTACGCCATCCTACATACCGACCACCCTCTTCCATGCATAAAATATAGCGCCTCGGATATTTATTGATCTCAGGTCTTTGTAAATCTTAAGTTTTAAACTAGCACACCTAATTATGTATATATATATATATATATATATATATATATATATATATATATATATATATATATATATACATACACACACACACACACACACACACACACACAACACACACACACACACACACACATATACATATATGAGTGTATGTATGTATGTATATATATGCACACACACACACATACACACACACACACACACACACACACACACACACACATACACACACACACATATATAGTATGTGAGTGCGTGTGTGTCCATATATATAAATACACAGAAACACAAACCACACACACACACACACACACACACCACACACACACACACACACACACACACACACATATATATATATATATATAATATATATATATATATATATATATATATATATATATATGTATGTATGTATGTGAGTGCGTGTGTGTCCATATATATATATATATATATATATATATATATATATATATATATATAATATATCTATATATATACACAGAAACACAAACACACACATATATGTGTGTGTGTAGAGTTTTTTAAATATAATGGAAATGAAGATGCTACATGTGTTCGAGTGCATCATTGGCGACTGGATAGAATAGTCTTAATTTTTGCATTTTAAGCAACCGTATTTATTTTTCTTAAATTTCCTTGATTTTGTGCTGCGGATTATCTACATTAAGATCGTTTCTATAAATCAAAAAGGCTTTAGTATAAATCTATGGGAAGTTTCTTTTTACAGCGTGATAATCCTATTACAGAGTTTTGCTTATTTGGAATTAATATGATATGCGTGAGATGTGCGGTCTTTTTAAGAGATGGATGAATAGAGTAGAGCATCACCCGTGCTTGTGGAATGCACTTGATTCCCTGGATGGCGGCAGGTTTGTTTACATGCAAGCAGCGGTTCTCTGGCAGTCTGAGAGGGTCGGGTCATTTGCATACGAAGTTCATGCGGAAAAAAAAGAAAAAAGAAAAACGAAAAGAAGGCTGTCATATAGCCTATGTAGTTTGAGTTTTTTTTTTTTTTTTTTTTTTTTTTTTTAAATTCTACTGGAATGGTTTTCGCGAGACATGCCAAGATATTCATTAATAGAGCATGAGTTAATTTCATTCTATATCATCTTTATCGAAGACGATATATCAAAGGCATCTTGTCTGGAGAATATATATATATATATATATATATATATATATATATATATATATATATTATATATATATATATATATACATTATAGCACACATACACACATATATTTACTAAATTGATGTATATACATACATTGTATGACTTTATGTATATATATATTATATATTCTTACACTCGCATCGACACACATACATATAT